TGCAGCTCCAAACAAAAACAAAAAAAAACTCCAAACAACAGTGAACATTTGTGCCAAATTAATTTTCATTTTGATCTTAGCAAGAAGTTTTCTCTCCATCTCCCCTTTAAACTCTTTTTACCATTGCTAACTTTCCCCCCTCTTCCTGTGCCCTTTGTGCTTTTCCCTTCACTCTCAATTCACCAGCCTGAAGATGCAGAGACACATGGATTGTTGTCAGCTCCAGTCAAGTAGTCTACTCATTTCAAAGAGTGCTGGGGTCAAAGGTTAAGTTGTCTCCAGTGTGTTGCTGCTTGACTGACACTCCGCTCCAAAGCAGCCCCCTTTGGCTTTTCACTGCCTGTGTTCTACAAGTGGAGCAGTTGTTTAAAAAAGTTTGTTGAAGGCAAAGAAAATAGTGAAATGTGAGCTGGCTTTGGTGTTATCATGTTAACACATACTGAGCACAAACACGCAAACTAACGCCGTCAGACATGCAGGTTACAGCATAAATAGCACACTCGTGAACACGAAATGATTGTGTTTGCTTTTGTGCATACTTTACAGACATCATGAGTGAGGTGGACAGCTGGACATGTCTAATCCATAAATCTTACAGAGAAAATAAAAAGCAGCGAGTGATCAGTAAAAAATACTGCTGATATGTGTAACCTCTGAGGAGTCTGCCAACTGGGTGAACACTGTTTTCATTTCTGTTTGGCACTGAGAAGGAAAAACCCTTTGAACCCTGTCCGGTCATGTCAGTGACCGAGGTCCCAGCGTGTGTGTGTGTGTTGGTAGCAGTGCTTATATAATTTACAACAGCTCTGCTTTAGTCATTAAGGGGTGTGAAGAAGCCCCCGGGGAGCAGGAATTTGTCCAAAGGCAGTGTTTTTAAAAGGGAGTATATTTATGATTTAGTGTTCCAGGAGTGTGAGCTTGGTGTACAGCACACACCACACCACAGGAGTTGGTATATGGCCATGATACTCAAGTTTAAGAGATGAAATAAGAACAACAAAAAAAGAACATAAAATGTGAGCTCCCTGAGGTAGAAGAAAAGAACATAAAATGTGAGCTCCCTGAGCACTGATTATTTTTTAAGCTTATTGTTATTTTCCAAAAGGTAGATGTTCGATACACAAAACACAGTCAAACTCTAAAAATGATTTGTTTTATCAGTTAGAAAACATGCTTATGTTGCCAACCCCAATTTCTTATTTTTTTAAATATTTTTTGCAATCTGTCTGCATTTCCTTTTGCGCTATACTGAGTGTATGTTTGAGTATTTCTGCAGAGGATTTTTTAAACAATACTTGGTGTCACATCAGGTCTAAGACATGTACAGCCGACTATCAAAAATCGTTTTATGTAAAAAGTGTAAAAATACAACAATGTCTATCCTTTAATTCCTTCATAGAAATTACCAATAATATACAATTATTTAAAATAAACAATTTTACATTGTATGTACATATATGTATGTATACATAAATATACACACACTATAAATATAGCTGCAAAACTTCATGTTGTTGCACATATATTATTATTTTTTATTATATTCTTTTTGCTCAGATTAAAGTTCTCCAACTTGTAAAAGTATTTCACTTTTGTCCTGCAGTCTGAGTTGAGCTAATGTGAGTACAACTTTTTTTCTTTGCATAAGAAATAATTTTTAATTTCTCTATTGTACATGTTATGTTGTGGGTATTCAACTATACTGTATTTATAAAATTGTCACCATGAGAACAAAGGTAAAGCATCACTAGGATATTTAAAAGGAACTGAAATAAAATAATATAAATCATTCTCATAAACTTAAAAGATCAGTCAAATTCCCCTTTGTTTTCAGTAATGCAATGGTTGGTCAGATCACGGATCTATATTTACAATAGATGCATTCTTAGGAACAGAGTATATACAATTAAAAATAAATAGCTCCTTACAAAATCAACACCATATTCGTCTTGTTGGTATTTTCCCAGCAGCATATAGCAGAAAAACAGGTGATAAAACACTCACACTCCACCTCACTCCCATCTTCTTAAGTGCTACTAGTACTTATCTGCATATAAAACAAAAACAACTTACATAAAAGGCACACTGAAAAACAGTGTTTTACTCAACTTTCATGTTTTTCAGTCAGAAAAATGAGCGTGTCCACATTTTAGCAGTTCAGCATTGTGTGAAGTCTGCGACCGACCGTTGTACTAACACGACGTACATACCACGACGTGCTGGACATAAGGTTTTCCTTTCTGAAGGATAGTGGAGGATCTTTGATTTCAGGTATATTTAAGGGATTAGCCATGTTGCAACGAGTTACCTCTGCATGTAGCAGCTTGGTTTGTTGTTAGATCTGTTGGATCTGCGCTCGACAATGCAGCCTAAGGTGGAGTAGTCGAATGCAGAGCCACCGATCTTTCCGCACAGAGCGCATTGTCAAGTTAATAAAAGAAATAAATTGCGTATTGTTCTATTGATATTTATTTAAGATTCCATAAATGACACGTCAAAGACACGACCTTGTTATTTTTATATACTTTATTATAAATAGTAAATAGTGCTGTACTGTACACAAAACGTATTACAACAAACTCAGTTTAGGCCACTGTAAATGGAAGATATGAAAAGGAAAAAAAAAGTAATGAACACTGTAAGACTTACTGAGACATAACACTGAAATACTAAATAAATAAGAAAAGGAAGTGATGTTTACACATTCCGATTAACCTAAATGAAGACATGCAACAATAAAAAAAATACTGTCAAACAGAAAACGTTTTTAACTGGAAGAATTTTTTTTTTTTTGGCTTGATGACATCAAAATATTCAAATAATAAATTCCATCACTTGATGATTTCCCCTGATTGATGGTGCAACCCAGAATTTAAGACATAAAAGAAAGAATGTTTGTTCCAGGCCATGATCAGTGGCATTCCATTTGTGTTTGTCTACATGAGGTATGAATGTATTGCACGTTCTTTGGGTCGCAGTGGTTTCGCCGTCACTCCTCAGGGTTTCACCCTTCTTCTCAGTGTGGTCGCACATCTACAGGAATCACACTGACATACAGTTAATGTCATTATTCTAATACACTGTGGTGAAGAGATCCTCATGAAAACACCGTGGCTGAGCACCACGCATTTCCAGCATCAAGCCTTTTGATAACCATCAGCCATAAGAATCCAGCCCTCAGCTCCATATCCAGCTGGACCCAGGAGCACGGGACTCTTTACAAAGTCTGCATATCTGCCACTTATTACAATAACCAAATACAGAGTCTTGAATGTATTTACTCCCCTCTCTGCTCCCCCTTCTTCTTTTCTTTTCAGCGTGGACAACACACCACACTCGGTACTTGGAGCATGACGTGACGCAGGAGCAGAGAGAGTGCCAGGTAACAGGAGATGCTGCGCCTTTGGTCCTAATTATTCCAGTCCAGCCCTTCATTCGCCATCACTTAACGTGCATCTCAATTGATTTCCTTCCTTGCTGAAGGAGAACGCCGAGTCTTTACCCACACAACCTCACTCGTTCTCCTCGGGGCTGGTTGGGTTTGGCAAAGGCAACGAGTGGGGGGATGAATGTTAGACTTGTTAGGAAAAGCCTCCTGCTCAGGCAAAGCTGGGGACTTCATATAATGAAAGGCACCTGAAGGAGAAGAAAAGACCAAGAGAATGGGTTCAAATACTTGTAACCTGGTGTGAATTCAAGTTAGAGTTGCATTAAAGGTACAAAAGTCTTCTGAGGGATAAATGGAGAAAACGGAGCAGCAGGTGAGGAATACAACATTTAGTTTGGAGTAAATATTGACTCCAATGTCAAGAGGAGTTTGCGTGGAAATTCTGTGAACTTTGTATGGTTGATGAAACTACAATGAGTTTGGAGACTGAATCTTAGTCTGAATCTGGACTCAGCTCTGCTCCACTGATTAATAACATCTCTCAATCTGACCTCCAGTGGGACACATGGTTCTAATTCTGGGCTGCCAAGGGCCATAATCACCCCCCCGTTAAAGAGCCCCCTTACCCTTCCCTTATACATACACCTACATGTCTACACTAGCATCTACACATGCGCACACATTTAACTAAACCCACCACAGCAATATGCAGTTCTCTAGCCGGACCAGCTAAATTAATGACATCAAGATGTTGCCACTGATGGGCCGGTCAACATGTGGTAGTGTAGCTCAGATCAGACCCCAACAACACCAACACACCCCACCTCCTCCAAACCCCTGTCAAACATGCACTGGAGAGTGGGCTTCGTTCATTTGGGCGGCTATCTCTGTTACACAGGGGTCATTACATGGCTAAGTGAGGTACACTAGGGGTTTGACGGGCGAGCTCATCACACGAGGTCATGAAAGGACACAGAGGGCATGTGTGTGGTTGTTGGGGTAAGGCCTGGATGCACCTCTTCGTTAGCCCAGTGATGGAAATGTAAACTGTGGCTAACCTCACCGCTAGTATTTTTTAACATGGGTAATTTCGGCATACTTAGGACTGGGGGATATGAGAAGCAGACTCATCAGAGATTGGTTTGTGCGTTTAACATGGACGACAAAAGAATCCAACCCAAGTGGCTCAGAGGGAGCAGCGGTTTCCAAACAAAGCACTACTCAATTATAAAATACAAAATAAAATCTAGAAAATATCAATGAATGAACGTAAATGCTTTTTAATATACCTTGCTCTGACTGTACTGTCCATACTGGTAGGATGGATGGTGGTCCACAGCGTAGGTGGGAGAGGTGTAGGAGGGTGGGCAGTAAGACTGAGTACTGGGAAGGGCAGGCATACTGGTCAGGCCCGGTAGAGTCTCCAGGCGCTGGGAGCCATGACAAGCGGAAGCCATGCTTCCGTTAGGCTCCAGACCTCCAGTCAGAGGAGAGAGGGTGAAGTCACCCTGTGTCTGATGTGGAACTCCACCAGGGTTCAAAAGGCCCATGACCTGAAGAGAGGAGAGGAGGGGAAAAAATGGCGAGAGGTAAGTTTAAGGTACGTGTGTTCTTGTTTCAAGTGAGAAATACATTTTTCATTATTTCACATTTTGATAATCATGAATCATCATTGTTTATGTGCTGTTGTTACAGTTGTATCATTTAAGAAATGCAAACATAATCAAGCATGAGTTGTGTGCGTGTGTGTGTGTGTGTGTGTGTAACAGAACCAAAACACAACATGTGTATATTCTCTTTCTTAGACTGATCTGAAATTCCGACCCCCGTACTTCTGTAGTTTCACTAAAATCACTGAGTCCCTAAGAGGCCGAGGTAAAAAGGTCACAGAGGCCAAAGGCTGTGTGACAAAAGCACTACATTTCAGAGTCTTGATGTGGGAAGCAGTACGTCTAAACATGTAGTAAGCATTTTTGCTCTGATGTCAGAGCGCTACGGGTGTCAATGATACATCGTGAACAGCTGCACGGAGGTTCGCGTGACAGGAAAACTCATGAAAATACTTCAAAAATGATGTTATAGAGAGCTGCAGCTATTATGGCTGGAGCCTAGAAAAGAAAAAACGTCTAAAAAATAACAATGTAAAAAATAAATAAAGAAAAACCGGTCATGGAAAAATATCCTAGTACAGTATTTTGTTCTGTGTACAGACATCAAAAAAGCAATTATGTATGTATATTATGTATCCAATGTAATATTAATAGTATATTGGCTGGATAAGATATATGTACTATTAAATATTATACGTTCTGAAAGAACAAATTAAAAAAATTTAAATCTACAAAAGGTATAAAAAATGGTATTAAACTAATAACAGTAACAGTCCTTCCTGTGTGAGAAAGATTAACCTTAATCTGTCTCACAACCTACTGTTGGAGAGACTTTTAATCAATTCCTAAAATTGACATGTTTTGATGGATTCCCTTCTCTAACAAAGTCATGAATGTGTACATGGTTTAAATTCATCCATTTTCTGTACAGAACCAAAACAGCAGCAGTTTCCCGATAGTGTGTCTGTTTTGAGGTTGTTCCGGGGATTAGCTCGCATGGGGGTGCAAATCCCGTCTGCTCGCTTCCTTGGTGAGAAAGGATTGCTTTGGTATGCACCAGATCAGCAGCAAGAGGCCCGAGACATTTGGCACCAGAGAAAACCGCAGCTCAGATCTGTTGTTGAAGTAGATCTACCTGGCCCGACACTGAAGTACGCACTGACAGAAACTGGAGTAAAAAAATACTTCTACTTCTATTTCCTAAATGCTGTAGAAAAGTAAATAATGTAGACACACGGCAGTAGCTACTCAGCAAAACTAAAGACCCCAAAGTTTAAGAAGCAACGGGGTCAGTGATCTCTGAGTATCATCGGGGTTTTTTTCTTTTCTCTTAATTATGTTGGATATCTGTGAATTAATTGAATCCTGGAGAAAAGTGTGCCGCAATATACATCCAAACAGCTGCGAAGACTGTGAGGATTAAAACAAATTAGCCAACAAAGTGAGTCATTTACATAAATTACACAGGTTGTTAGGAGAGACCAGATTACTTCATTCCAATCAATTAAGACGCTGGAACATTCTGTGATTGCATTTCCAGACGGAGGGAACATTCCAGGCTCGCCGACCCTATGCAAGATGAGATGACCGTCCTGTAAGGAGCTGCTCATTAAGGTTAATGCTGAAACCATCCATGTGGGCCGAGCCACCTTTGGCCTCTTTATTGGAGTTAAAGTCACTCTGTGACCCCGTCGGTATGTAAACCACTTACTTACAGCATGGCAGCCACCAGCCGGCTTGTTATGATGCATCACTGACTATTGTACACACACTGAATCACTGCGTTCAACCAACTCGCTCAGTGTCTTTACTGCTCTCCAGTGGCTCTATGATTTTTTATTAGCCCATAAAAATAAAAAAGGCAAATGATGTCTAGTTCAGTTTTTATATCGAAGAAGTCAATTACAGCTTTATCTAAGATCAGTCCACCTTTGACTTCCTGTCTGCTCGCCACGGCAGCAACTACAAAGCTCTCCTCTTATAGTACATCCTGGGGCGCTCACACACTAACAAACCTGCCTGAGGCAGTTTTTTATCTGTGCATGACAGGAGACTGAAATTCTCTCTCATGGGAATTAGTACCCAGCATGCATTGCATGTGTGCTGCCCACCCTTTGTGGCGGTTAAAAGCCTGTTTTACGCCTATTAGTTCATCTTCTGGGTTGGTAGGGAGCCAATGATGGACACTGATGACTGTGTAATCGTCCATAATTGTCTTTTCAGTTTTGATTTGTGTCATCATTCGACATCCACCCGTCCGTCCTCCTGTTTGGTCCCTGCTGCCTCGCCTGAGACTGACGTCTACCGCATTTCAAATTCATCAAATGGCCCATCAGAGTAAACAAAAATGAAAAGCTGCCGTGTTTTTTGACCTAACAAGATTTCATCAATGTCACCGCAATGTCACCTCTGTCATATCGTAGAAGGTGTTGGTGTTGGGCCTCCATATTGTGATAATATACTTGTAACCGAACACTTCCTGTTTCCTGCTGTGTGCCCTGTGGTAATGTCAGTGTATGCAGATTGTTTTTTTGTGTACAGCTGATGTATGTTCGTACCTGTGGGGAGAGGCTGTTGCCGATGGTTGGGTTGACAGCGTTGCTGTGTCCCGTAGGTGCTACGAAGCCGTCCGAGTATCCTGTGAAGCCATGGCGTCCGGAAGAGAGGCAGTACGCAGAACCGGCATCCTGAGATCCAGCAGAAGCGCTGAGCCCACTCTGGTGTACGGAGGTGGGCGGCAGCGGCTGTGGCCGGTGGACTGTACTGTGCTGCTCTGGTGCTGCCGGGAATCAAACAGAACGCATTAAAAACTGGTACATTTATTTATTTATGTCAGGAATGGTGTCAGGCCTTTTACTGCACAAATTACAAAAGTTTGGCTTTGTCTATATCTAACCTCAGTTTCTATGTGAATTCTTACAGAAACCTAATTTGAGAATATAATTAAATGTATTTCAGTTGACTCACCTTGAGCTATGGATGTTGGAGGGTAAGGGCTGTCAGACAGCTGATAGGGCTGCAGGCCTGACATGGCTGTTGGAGGGAAACCACTGGGAATGAGGTGGTTAAAAGCCATCAGCTGATTAGCTCCAGCCTGTTTCCTCCATCGGGCTCTTCTGTTGCTAAACCACACCTAGAAGAACAACAAAGACTTTAGAGTTTATTTTTAAGGACCTTCCTGACTGAAGTATGAACAACATGGTCTTGTTAGGACACACGCTTGGTTCTTTTGAATGTATATATGAATATGTCTGTGTGAGCTCCTGTTGATCTATAATGGGGAGCTGCACTGACAGAGCTCTTCACATCTGGAGTGTGCAGTGAAACCACAGACATTACAGCTTTTTGTGCTACTCCGTGTCAGTGAGTTCAGATAGCGCCAGAGGGCAGATACAGCTGTTAAAGCCTACATTACCACACCATCCTAATGAGACAGCTATTTTTAGATCTTTTCACATACATTTTTGGAAGAGTCTGTTGAAAATAAGTTGCTGTCTTCATAAACAGTGGGTGTAGTGTGTCTGTGTTTGTATGGGCAGGGGGTCGGGCACAGGGTCATGGGCTTTTTTTATTTTTTGACAGACAGACAACATAGCTCATGGTTGTAAGCAGTGCATGGCAATATCCTCGAGCAATTTTAATCCATAAGACAAATCTGTGAAAACTGACACACTGCTTTGCTGTTGTGGGGGGGTGTTTGAGGTTTCAGAGTGCATCTGTGTGTGTCTTCAAACCTGAACTCGAGCCTCTGTCAGTTTGGCACGCTGAGCCAGCTCCTCCCGTGTGTAGATGTCAGGGTAGTGTGTGCGTTCGAAGGCCCGCTCCAGCTCCTCCAGCTGTTCTGCCGTAAAGGTGGTCCGGCTACGACGCTGCTTTCTCTTCAGAGGCAGACCTGGCTCTGAGTCCACGTCGGAGCCCTCATCTGAGTGACTGGCTGCAATAACAAGGTGCAGAGAAAAGACGCAGTGTTACACTGACATTCAGAGGAGCCTCTGAGACTCAGAATGAAACAATAGCCAGAGCCAATACAATAGATTACACTGAGTCCAACACATGGTACAGAGCCACTTTAGTTCGTGTCCTCCTGCTTCTCACTAGTTCCCGAGGGGATCAAAAGCCAGAAGCTGCTTGAACATGGATTAAAAAGGACCAGATCCCTTTGGGGCATCGACTTCCCCGGGACTCTCAGTCTCTCTCTGTCTTAGTCAAACTGTGCAATATGCCAGTAGGGTCCCATAGTAAAGAGTAGGGCAGCCTTTTGCAGGTGCTCTCTAATCTGTTTGTTCTGCTGAGGGTGGACGTGAGCGAATGGGTAACTTGGAGACAGCTTTTGGGATCTAATTCAGCAGAAGAGGGAAATCAATGAAGGCGTGAGACTAGAAACAGAGGACTATTGCTGCATTTCAGGACCAAGGTTACCCATCTATTAAATAATGATTAGGCTCCACAAACTAGCGTGACAGCCAGCTATTGTTCACCAGTGCATGTCTGAAATACCCCCATCTCTTTCTCAGTCACACACATATTCCCAAACACGCATCTGCTGCGTCCCGACTGCGGGCTTTAACTTCAAAAACGTAGTCTATGACAATGAGTCCAACACAGATGGACACAGGACGGAGTTAAACGGAATCAGACCCCAGTGGAACCTCCTAAAACTAAAGAGGAAATGTTCACTGCACATTTTTATACTTAGACCCTGCAGTAAACACATAAGGAAGGAGAAAACACAGCTAAGCAGGTGCCACAGCCAAATAATTCAGCAGAAGACTGTTCTGTTGCTTCTGTTTCCTCACACTGCTGATCCTGCTTCTCCCCTGCAGATTTAAAGATTTAATTAAAAAGTGCCAAGTCAGACATGAAGGGACTACCGGGGATCTACCCTTGCCTCTGGAGGGAAGCAGGAAATGTCTGAGCTGGTTGCCAGTGTGTGTTTGACGAGGCATTACACACAGATTGCTCTGGACAAGTGGCTCAAAAGATCATAATGTCCAGATTTACCAGTGAAAAGTAAAGTCACTTCCATCTGAACCGAAACTGGAGAAACAGGTGGAGGCGTGTCACCAGTGAGCAGTGAAAGGGACAAAGACAAAACCATGATAGCAGAAAAGTAGAGATTCTCCAATGAAGGGAGGAGAGCTCATAAAACTCCCTGGAGGAGAAAGCTCCCCATTGGCACTGTAACTCTTTTTAACTGCAGGGTGGGGGCGGATCTCTTCTCCTTCTGCTCCATCTTATTCTTTTAACCCTCTGATTATTTTTAGTAACTACATAAAAACATTCCGTCAGAGACTCTGCCTTGATGGTAAAAGACAGTGTTGCTTTTGTCATCTGCTGGCTTGCATTTTCTCTTTGCCACTCTTCCTCTCTCCCTTTGTTGTTCTTTTTTTTTTCTTCCAAAATGATACGGCCGAGCCTTTGTATCTTAGCAGGGGAAAGCCTGTGGCCGGGCCAGGGCTCTATTGGACGAATTACCACGCTCCATCTGTAGGAGCCATCAGGGACGCCCGGGACCACATTCAGGGGCCTGTCCCCTGCCCGGCGGGGGAGAGGGGGGGGGGGGGGCATAGGGTGAGATGGGGGCTGAGGGCCAGGGAATGAGATGGGGCAATGAAGGGAGGGGGGCACAAAAGGTCCAGAGAAGGGCTATTGGGGGGCTGTGGAGAGGCACAGCAGGGGAGCACCCCTTCATCCCCCTCCTTCCATTGCCCGAGGGGCACAATGTTGGGGGATGGTGGGGTTGAAGGGTCTGACATGAAGAGGAGTTTGAAAGCTGAAGGTACCTGGAGAAGATGGTGTGGAAGTGTGGGTGGTGCTCTGCACAGGAGAATGGGCCGTTTGTCATTCTTAGCGAGTGAGATCTGTCCTTTCCATTTTTGTGATCACTTTTCATTCTCTCTCTCTATTTTGCTCTCTGTCTCTCGCTTTCTCTCTCTCTATCGCTGTCTTTCTTCCCTTTTGTACTAATCTGTCGCAGCATTAACATCTTTGACATCTTCAAACAAGGACTGTATTCTGACATGAACCAGCACCGAGTGCACACTGATGCAGAAGCCGTCTTATTCCCACACATTCCCTGCCACAATCTGCAGAAGAGGACACCAAACACAAAGGGAGGCCTCAACCTCCTTACTTAAACACCCAAATCAAATTTTACGCTGTATGCTAAACCACTGGGGAGCCTGAACTCCTCCATAGTCACTCACAGTTTGGCCGCGGTGCTGACAAGAATCCTAACTGAAGATAAATTATTGTCCTTTGTGGAAATTGTCGATGCCCCTAAATTGTCCATTAAAGCAAAAGTTTAAATAGAGAATTTAAAGTAGGTTAAAAACGTTAATTTCAAGCCTGTTTAGAAAATGTGCAGCGCCACATTTCTTAACGACACCGCTGTGTATTCTCTACATGGACTCAATATGTCAGTGCAACAGGTTCCTTTCACAGATCTAACTCGAAAAGTGCTTGAAGCAAAGAGACTGAATTGTTTATGAAGCGAAGACTGATGAGCAGAAATCATGGCTAAAGAATTAGAGATGTGAACCTGGGAAACATCAAGATTTATAAGCTTTACCTGCAGCCAAAAGTGAAAATCACCTAAAGACTAATATACGATAAGACATAGACATATTACAGAATATGAACTCTTAAACACCAGTTGATGATTAAGGAAATGAGACGAAAAACCAGAGTGAGAAGCTGTTCTGAGAGGAAGAGAAGTGCAGCATATGGGGCAGTTTATAGTCTTGTCTTGGTAGGGGTTGGCTGGCCCTTCCTCCAGAGGCTGTTAATAGAGAAGGTAATTGAACCACTGACATGTGTTCGCAACACAAAACAAAGGGCAGAAGAGACAAATGAACTGCTTATTTGCCCAGGGAAGTAGATCTGGCCCTTTCAGGCCACAGAGCACGGCGCGAGAAGGCCCCTGAATAATATAGCAGCACGCTACGTAGAGCCAAAGCAAGCAGATGCACTGGAGGAAAAGAATAGTTAACTGACAGCCTTTGGGCTCAGCTGGGGTTAACAGTTGAGGGGTAAAAAAATGGGAGTGAGTGGGCTGCTCACTTGACTTGCTAAAAAGGCCCCAGGAACCTGCAGCTGCATGGGAACGGACTGGGGGTGTAGAAAGAGAATGAAAGAGGGAGATGATGATGATGTGATGGACAGATGAAGATGGAGTGAATAAGCACAGGAGGCTGGCACTTAAAGGACAAAGACGTAGTTGGCGATATGACGCTGAACGATGTATCTCCGGCCAATAGGGGCGAAGTGACAAAAAGCCGCAAATGGTCCAGTGTGGCTATTATCCGTGCCCAGTGTGTGGTGGTTATTATGTGGTCCAACTCTGGTGCAGTTAGGTGACAGTTTCACGGTGGCAATTCCACCCTTAGGGCAGGGACAAAAGCGACTGCACCAGGATCACGCAGGGCTGCAGCAACCGGCCGCTCTGGCGCACGTTCCAGACACACTAACCAGCCTTCAGTCCCGCTAACGACCAATCCAAACACATCATAACAAACCCTCTCTTTAGAAAAAAAAAGTACATTTGGTGGTTTCCTCCTGTGACGTCTGGTTATTTAAAGTGTGTCGGCACTCGTCTCTTTACCAACATTATCATAACCTGCTTTTACTGGGGCCTGATGGTTTTAACAGTGAAGTGACCCCAGGATAGCCTCTGACCTTTTCACAGCTACGGCACGGCACGGCAGTGAAAACGTCCTCACCACTGACCCCACAACAAAACTTCACAGACACTCACCAGGGCAGAGGGAAACCATCAACACATTCCACACAGCGTTCTTGCCCCAAGAAGACAAAGGTAGAGTTTTATTTTTGCTTTTATGACTTTTTTTTTTTTTTAAAGACAACTCCAGCAGTAATATCTGTTTGGACAACTGTGTAGATATTCTGTTCTAAAGCTAAGGTTCTAAACTTTTCGGGTTTTTTTTTTTCCTTTTTCAGGGAAAAGGACATTAATCAAATGCCAAAAGAGTTGTGCTGGCATGTCCATAATGTGCAATGTGCTGGATGAAACAGCTCCACAAAAACTTAGGCCAAACAAAGTTAAATGATTGACAACACTGTCTGGCTTTACTCAATTAACTATCCCATTGTGCTTCTCTTTGCAGAGTCCCCTTGCCCCCGACCCTTTTCTACTCACTCCCCTTTATCCTCCCCATCACAGAGTTTTGCTTGGCTAATACTTGCAAGGAAATAGAGAGCTCTTTTTCAGCTGGGGCTCCTCTCCTTGACCTTCTATTGCTCACTGCTTCTCTTTCAGTCACTTCACAGTGTCTTTAGGGTTAGTGGGGAGAATGCGGAGAGTATATCAGCGCCAAGGGGCCGGCGTAGGGCAGGACCCCGGTCCGTTACTTCAAAGTTGGCTTGCATTCATTAATTGTCCTTTGAATTAATATTGGGGGATCACAATGTGGATGGCAACAGAGAAAGGGGCTTTAATGAAGCATAGAGTGCGTATTCAGTTGCAGATCAGTGTGTTTGGATTTCTTTAGAAAAAAAAGGAGAATTTTATTATTATCTATCTGTTTGTGCATTCAGTGAGAATGATTTTTTATCGCTGGCCACTGAGTGAAACTTGCTTTATAAATATAATATCCAGCCTGAGCAGAAAATGTCAATGGGACTGGAGCAGACATTCCTTTGACTAGTGGAAACATTCTCCTCTAACCCTCTCATCTTTGACTCATTCACCGTGGAAATGGAGTGACTCCTGACAAGCAAGTTGTAGAAAATCCACCAACTCCCTGTCTCTCTGTCTGTGTAAACAGCTGTGAGTTTGGAGCCGAGCTGCTCGCCGTGTATCTGTTTATATATTCACACTTGTCTCCTGAGAGTCAAAGTTATGAAATCTTCAAATTGGATTAGATGGATCAGTCGTGGTAGCTGCAGACTGAAATTTGCTACCAGCTGTTATCTCTGAAAGTTTAGCCCACATTACGCTCATTTTTCACTTCGTTAAAGACACCGTTCGCGCAAATATGATATTTCTGCTCTCCTCACAGGCCGACTACTCCTCGTCCCCGCGTTCGTGCCAAAGTCACGGGGAGCCACTAACCCAGTTTATTTACACAAACAAAGTCCTTCTCAGCTCCTCTGACAAAGGCAGCTAAATCTTTCATGTTTTGTCAGCACTTGATTCCTTCTGTCCCTCTGGCCATTCGCCTGCCTCCGGACAATGGGAGCAGGAGAATGGCAGCAGATTGTTGGAATGCACCTCAATGAAACCAATTATTACATGTTGACTGCGTTCACCATGGCAGATTTGAAAGAAATGGGCTCATTCAATTTGGCACCGCAGGGCTCCCTCCAAAGAAAACTTATCCCTTTGACTGTTTGTATTTCTGAGTTTAACTTTTTTCCCCCCTCTTCTTCCTCCTCTTCTTCACCCTCGCTGCCATGGACTGAGACTGTGAGAGGAGCTCCTCTTTCTGAATTTGTGTACATGAATTAGTCAAATGAGGGAAAAGTGCCCACATTAATAGACGAGGTAACGATGAATATGAATAGTAATGCAATGACAATAGGATTTCTAAACAACAGGATGAGATTCTCGTTCAACATTAGCAAACAGGACCATAAGTGACATCAATAACTCTTCCAAAACAAAACTGTGTGTTGTTAAGATTCAATGCACAAGAGTTCATTCAGTGATGTAACACATCAGAACCACGTTCGTCCCGCAAACATCTCTTTCCCACAATACTCCAGCCACTTATAATGCCGTGCAGACCTGAGGCTGCCCACTTCACTTTATCCCACAAACCTAAGCAGTTCCCTTTTCCCAGACAAATAAATCTAAATGAGTCAGCTTTGATCTTAGCACTCAAGGAAAGACAACAATAGTGGTGGTGGAGAAAGGGGCAGAGAGCAACAGGCCTCTCTCTGCCGTAACAATAGCCTCTGCAAACACCTACTTAATCAATATTTGGCCAGAAGACATTCTCTCAGTACCCAAACCGACCTTTTCACATTCTAATGAAGTGCTATAAAGGGGAAAAACAACAACAACTTCCACAAAGAGACACAGGAATGAAATAGTGCTGTGCTGTGTTGATCAGAGAGTGGGGGAAAGTGTCCCAGAGGTGTTTATGTCAGGGGCAGGGTAAAGAAGCAAAGTGTATTTGTTTCCTTTAGAGAAGAAAACAATTATATATATGTGTATGTGTATATATATATATATATACACATATATATATATATATATGCAAGACTTTTTAAAGTTTAAAAAGTAAAATAAAAAATAGATAAAATAATCATTTGAATTTGAAAGCTTTTTAGATTTCCAATAAAGTTTAGAAAACTACTGGTCATTGAGTCAGGTTTAGTAAACTTTGTGCTCTCTGCTTGAATTATCTATTTATGTATGCGTCTCCTGTCTAATATTGGGATGAGGAGTGGCGGAGGTGGAGGAGAGGGAGAGGGATGCCCACAGATACTGGATGAATGTGTGCGCCCTGGGCGGAAAGGAAAGGGGCGGACTTTGTCTGAGATGAAAGTGGAGAGAAATAAAAGGTTTGGATTTAATCTAGTGGAGAGAAGGATTTCCCTGCGCCCACTGGCTGAAGGCGTCATGCTCGGTGCGCAGTCAAAAGAGTCAAAAGATGCGTGCGTAAAAGTAACGGCACCGTCCGACGGCTTTGTGCAACTTCAACACGTTTGCGACAGTTTTATTTTCTGTCAAAAAAACTTTACACTGATCTTTGTTTGTTTTGTTTTTTACACCACAAATATATATAATTTTTTAGCTATAAAAACTGCGGAAGTCCCAATAAAACCAAGAGATCCAAAAGCTGTGCGTCATTATGCTAAAAACTGCCAGACTGTAGTTATTTATGGCCGTCTTTCCATCAATATTTAACCAACAATTCCATTGTGTTTCTAGCAGCAACCTTTCACTTTACGGCAATACTCTCCACACACCACCAGATCATAAATCAACAGGTGTTTGCCCTGAGTCGGGGCAGTTTTCCTCCCATTTTCTTCCCTGAATACAAACTGTAAACACTGCGCAAAGAAATCACTTTTTTTTAGTTTTCCATGAACGAACCTCGCCCTGGGCCTATTGGTGTCCCTGAATAATTCATCGCTCATTGCGGGTTCATAATGTCTTCTCGCGGCCTTTTGTCAGCGCGGTTCTCTCTTCCTTTCTTCCCCCCGTTTTAAAGGGCTCTTGGCGTCTTTTTATAAACACCACTGAGCCGCTCACTGCAGTTTGGCTTTTGTGCGCCTCAAACTGAGGTGCGAGGCTCAATGGACTCTCCCTGCTTTGTCCCCTGAAGTTCATTCCACAGTGATTGAGGCTAAAGGGGGAAACAATGTCCCCCGACTTGAAAGTTAGACAAATGTTTGATTATCCACTTAAAAATCTCCTTTCATCGGTGAACTATCTCAGAGTGAAATTGTGACCAGTTCACCAAAACCACCGGATCAATTGTGAAACATAAATAAAATTATATCGAATATATACACATACATTGTGTGTGTATATATATATATATATATATATATATATATATATATCCCCCTGCCATTTTTAAAAAATATTTTTCAGCGCATGGACAACATCAAGACATCGTTAAAAAAGAAGACAAGTAAAAAAAAAACCCCATCAACTTACATCTGTCTCCCAGAATGCCGTCGATGCTGTGTTTTGTCCGTGTTTCATTTTCCTCCATCTCTCTTTTCACCAGTTCATCATCGTCGTCATCCTCACCGACTCCGCCGAACTTGGAGCGCATGACGCGACTGATGGAGCTCACTGAGGCAAAACAGGGCAAGAGAAACGGTGTGGGTTTTAACAACTGTTTTTTTTTTCTAAGGTGCATAATAAAAAATATAGTGACCAAAACATTTTAACAGCATCTTTGGTCTATCTATTTTTTCCCAGAGATTTCCAGTCCAAAATGTGACGTACCTGAGGGGACGTTGTTCCTGTCGCAGATCCCATCTTTCAGCAGTCTGTCTCTGATTTCCCAGCTGAACATACCCGGGTTTTCTGTCTTGTACTCCTCGATTTTTTTGTCAATTTCTGGAGAAGCAGTTTGCTGTTGAGAAAAAAAAAGATAAATTAGGAAGAATAACCTGCAGGCCTACAGGAATGTGTCGTGGTATTTTAGAACCCAAAACTTTATTAACTTTTTTTTAACCTGTGCAGGATGTATAAAATATCCCATGGTTTGCATTAACAATTATAATTACTTATAAACCATATACGATTAATTGAAGATGAATTAAACATGTCCTCTAATCACACCACACACACTCAGGTTTATTTATCCCCTCACCTTTGGTTTGCTGCCTCCGATGGCGCCCGGCCTGATGGAGCCTGTCTCCTGGTAGCGGCACAGGATTTTGGAGACGCATCCGTGGGAAACACGCAGCTGACGTGAGATGACGCACGGTCGGATTCCGTGATGTGCCATCTCCACGATTTTGTGGCGAATATGGTTTGGTAGAGGTCTGCCGTTTATGAAGACACCACCGAGCTGGTTGACCCGTCCCTGTCCTAACGGAGTGGACACTGCAGGGAGCAAGGGAGGATTATTATTATTATTATTATTATTATTATTATTATTATTATTATTATTATTATTATTATTATATGTTTTATTGTTTATTTTTACCAATCCGTTAGAGTCAGAATGTAAACACGAATATTAAAGTAAATAACTATCACTTTAAGTTCAAATTTAACCAAAACACACAGGATTATGATAAACTTTTAACTACCTGTAACTTTAATAAACAAGACATGGGTTTAAATGTCAAATATAGCAGTTGAAATATTCACCTTTCTGTATTTGGTGAGAAATGTCAACTTTACACACCTAATAAACTTATTATACTATACTTATACTTAATAAAGTGATTAATCGACTGTTCATATTAATCTCCACGTTTGCTGCGTTTGAATTCACACTGACAACTTTTTGTACAGATTTTTCTGAACTAAAATGTTTTGTTTTTCTACTTCCGTGCAGCAACTGGTGGTGCTCGCGTCCTACCTTCCAGAGAGTATCCTCCCCGCGGGTAGTTCTGATGAGGAGTCGGTCTCATCATCCTGGTCAAACCTCCTGCCAGAGCTGTCATGGTTCCTGACGGTGTGTCAGGTTAGACCTGGAGTAGACTGAAGTGGAGCGGCTGCTCTGTCGACCTTAGTCCGACCAGATGAAGATGATGGCTCTTTGTCGTGCAATGTTTGTCAGCACTTCTCCCCCAGACGCGACGCAGCCTCCCCGGACGTGGAGTAACAGGTTGTCCCGGCGAGAAGAGAACTCAATCCCTGCACGAGTGCAGCAGACTGTCATCCAACGGTAGTGCTTGTAACTCAGGTGAGAACAGGAACGAGAACACGGGTCACTGACAGTCCAGCGAGACCAGAAGAGGACACATTGGTTGGATGAACGAGAGTCAGATATTTTATCTGTGGACGCTGTCCCCTCTGACTCCTCGCCGCGCCTTCTGATTGGTCGACGACCCGGACATTAGTTGGCTGGAGGTGAGCTCTGATTGGACAAGAAGAGAAACTCTTCTTTGTGGAATTACCTCACGAGTACAACTTGTTGTGTCACAAGTTTTTTTTTGTGTACAGTTTGGGAAAATAAATAAATAAAGGAGAATTAATACATTTAAAATATGTATGTAGTGCATTTGTCTCAGTTTTTTTGTCTTAGTTGACGAATTTGGTTTTTTATTATTATTATAAAACTACCGGGTTACGGTAGGTGCACGACGGATTTGAAAGCTACAGATTTTTAATAGTATACATAATAAAATAAAACAATAACAAAAAACGTTAAAACGCATAGAAAAAATGTGGGGTGGGATAATTATCAGGTAGCACACACGCGCGCGCACACACATAAATATATCTATTTGTGAAATCAATGTAACCTCGGTAGCCTTTATTCGAATTAATTATATATTATCTCGTATATTATTATTATTATTATTATTATTATTATTATTATTATTATATTTGCTGGTGCTCTCTGTGATTCATGTATCAACTGGATCATTTTATTCCTGAACATTCGATGTTGTTACTGCTAAAAATATAGCGTACAGATTAAATTAGCTGTTGCTGGTAAATTAAAAAATATTGTAGGCACAGAGAGCGTATTTAGTCTGTGTAGGACAGGTCTGCAGCTTACGCTGCAAACATTTACGTATATGGTAGTAAAGTTTGTTTTTGTTTTTTTTAATTTTTACATTTGTACATCATCGTATATTTTAAACTAGAGACCGATTAAAACGTTTTTAAAAAGTAGTGGACAAAAATATTACATATGATCCAGGTTATTATTATTATTATTATTACTTACTATTAACTTTTTAAAATAGTCTTAAAATATGGCCAGAATTGATGTAGCCTCAAAACTTTAAGTGTGTATGTATTGACTAAAAAAATCAGCAACATTAACAACATAAATATTTTAAAAAAATTAAATTTTTTAAATGCATTATTTATAAAAGATAAATTAAAATACAATTAAATATTTCCCTGTCAGACAATGCAGAGATTCATGACGTAGAAATAACGATTTTTTTTATTTTATTTTTTTTTTTCACGATTGCCACAAGACGCACCCCACTCACAAACCTCTGCATGGTCGTTCCATAGTTGCTCTAATCCAACAATAGGTGCCGCTGGGACGCGTGGTTGGGCCACACGGCAGTGTAACACATCCGTGCAAATGGTCGATTATGGACACACAGAGCCACATGAGGGATAATTGGACTTTTCTGAAGGCTTGTAAAGTTTTGATAATTATGATAATTAGGCGTGTTTAATAGACCGACGCATGTTTTTGTCTTCTCTCCCCTCAGGAATCAGACACTACACTGGCCGATTCAGTTCAGAGGCCTCCTCATAACTGCATTCCAGGGATGACTGGTTGGTCATGACCTGCAGAAGACAAACTGATCAGAAGAGAAGCTGACAGTTTGTCAGATAATTTTGAGTTGAGGGTGTTATTTGTCGTCACTGGTTGCATTTTTGAAAATAATGATTAAAAAAAAGCGTGTAAATGAGAAAGAGCAGAGCCATCTGTTTTTGTGATGCGGCTGCTGTTGTCACAAGCTTGGACGTTGATGGAGTGGAGTACCCCAAAGAAGCAAAAGAAACTCATTCTCCTCGTTGTTTTGTTGTAGTTCTGTGTGTGTGATCTTTCTTATGTTATTTTATTTTAGTCTAAAATAAAGAAAGCAATGGACAGAGAACATGTGGAAACATTATAGGACCATGGAAGAAAAGGGGGTTGCATGGCCACGGTGGTGATGGTGGGGGGTTATCACACTAAACTTTGCCTATCATGAAAAGGATATTGGAGCTACCATGGCCAATCAATTAGCACAGAGCAGTAAGCTGAGTCAGAATTGTGCTGTGGTGCTGGACAAAGTGCTCAAAATATATGGAACAAAATGGCTCCAAAAAGAAAAGAAAAAAAGGAAAGTTCCAGCACGAGGCCGTCTCGTGTATTTAAAGTAAGCCGGGGGATTTCAAGGCTCTGCAACAGTAACATTAAAAAGAAACTATTTGATATGAGATGAGATGATTTGGTCTGCTTCCCCTAGACTTAGTCCAACACACTTTTGCTCTTAGTAGAAGTACAAAAAGGTTGGACACACAGCAGCGGGCCAGAACGTCAATGACACAACATATTTAAAACATAGTAGCGGTAGCAGCAGTAGTCTAATGTTGTTATGTATTACCAATGGAGAATATTATTAATGATACGTGCTGTAAGTGCCTCTATAAAATGGTACAAACCTAAATACATGAATCATTAAAAAAATGAATAGAACAAACAAACTGTGGCATCTTCACCTTCAGGTGACACAATGATGGATTCCTCCGCTCTGTGCCTTCATTTGCATTATTCTTTAGCTTTACTATGGGTAAAATAACTGTTGGCCGTAAAACAGCATGTGCTTAACCTCTATTAGTCTGTTGAGAATCATTCCACTGCTGTGAGGGAATGTTTAAATAATGTGGCGTAATATCAGTTATTTTTTAATGCACTCCACACCTCAACTAATGAGATGACTGCCAACAACCTCTTTGTTGGAGAATAAACAGGTTAACAATGAAATCGTCATCTTGTATGTTATTCAGATGCCTCCTTTAAAAATATGTCCTATTTAATTAATGTGGAAAACAACTGATGTCTATATGCAAAACTCAGGCTTGAGCCTGCATGTCCTTTTAAAGGACTTTTTTTCTTTTATAATATGGTTATTTATGTTTTTTATTATTATTATTATTATTTGTCATTTTATCTGCTGTCAACGGCAGCAGCTCTTCCCTGACCCTTGTACTGTAAAAGACATTGCACCACAAAGCCTTCAGAGCAGACACTGTCACATATAGAGGAATTGCCAAGAGGTAAGATCGGCATCTGACCAGAATAAGGAAATCTACTCTGTGATTAGATGCTTTGGGATGTTACCGTTACAAGGTGCCTGCAAAAGATGCCCTGTTTTTATAATGTGTTTGATCTTATCAAATACATGTGACCCACAACATTTCAGTAGAAACCCAAGCCTGACTGCAATTACCCTAACAAAGGCCTGTGGGAGGCATTCAGGTGTGTGTGAGAGAGAAAGAAAAAAAAGAAACACAGCATTTGTTAACCACACAACCCCTGGGTATGCAGGACCACCTTAACAGTTCAGTAAATTAGGACCTGAATCAGTGAACCAATGATACAGGTAAGTTTGGTCCCATGATGGACATGTAGCATTACCTGGAGTGAGATTCTTATCAATGTTAAGACTCAGGTTAGATAGACGGTGTGTGACATGTTATTTGATAGTTGATAGTACTCTAGGAAGTCAAGTAAAAAGACAGACTGTCATAAAAACATAATTTCCTGTATCAGGTGCAGAGAAACCATAAAATCATGTGTTCTGCAAGTGAACGAGTATTGAAACAGATTAAAAAAAAAATTTTAAACTGAGACTTTTTTGTTTGTAGATATATAGGCAATAATGTTTCACTCTGTTAAATTTTAAGAAAATAAATGACCAAGAATAAAAGTGGAAAAAACACATGATAAAATAAAATTTACACTTTTTTATGTAATCCAACCTTATATACAAAGGTATTTGTATAAAAGGGTATCTACACAGGATTGCAGATGTTTTTCCGTCTACAGTTATTTTATGCAGTCAGGAGAGAAACTGCAGCTAAAAGTGTACGACAACATCTTATCTTATTTCTTTATCTTAGCTGGTCTGTATTTGTCTAAAGGAAATGCTTTGGTACATTATGGACAGACAAACTGTAACTAACGATTAAACATCAGCCTCTTAGGTTCATTCTATCGCAGGGTTAAGCAAAACTGTAAGAATTAAATCCTGTCTGTCTGAATAAAAAATAAAAAAAACACTGCAGGTCTTTCACTTGTACTAATGGTTTATATTTGTTATTAAAACGTGTACTCTTTTGCATTTACAGGAAGAATACTCACATATCTAGAAATACGTTTGTCACCGATTCTCCAGTACATACAGTAGCATTACATAATACATTAGAATTGTAGACCCACAGTATGCTGCACTGTCATACATGGTTATTCTATATTGATGTGTATGGTTTAAATGTGTTAAATAACACTTTAGGACTTGGCCCATATCCGTTTGGGCCCTATGTGGTCTTACTTCGGCTCACATGGATACAAAGTACTCATAGATACATGTGATGTACTGCATTAGACACATATAGTTGCTACTTGGTATTTACCCCTGCCTTTTAGAAGAAAAACAACTGCAATTTATGAGCATATCACTGCAGTCGGACAGAGCTCTGCTAACTACACCTCCCACTGCCAGTATGTTTACATTTCAGCCACAGGGGGGCACTCAATTAGTTTTAGTTATTAATCAGCCACAGGGGGGCACTCAATTAGTTTAGTTAAGTATATTAAGGCGCAGATCACGTTGTAAAAAAAAAAAAAAAAAAAACTAATTTCAGGAATCGTCTTTCCTTTTTAGTTGCTTTACTTTGAAAGTTATATTTCAGTACTAAGAACTTTAAGATTGTTGTTGTGAGTTGTTCATACACAACACAACAGAAAATTGCCTTTTTATGCCTGTGTTCAAGGGAATTTTCCCATGTCGACACAGGCAAACGCTGTCGCTGAGAGTGCTTTCCTTCTACGGTGAAGTGCATCTGTGACGTTTCTAGAACATGTACTCCTTTAAGGAATTATACAAAAATTAAAATAAAAAGAGTTCACTAAAATTCTTTAATGAACAGTGTTTTATGTTTAAGGTTTACAGAGGTGTTGTAAAGACGTCAGACACCGAGGGCGCCACCGTGTCGACTGTTGGCGTCACCGCTGATCGGCGCTGTCCACTGTCCGTGGTGCTGAAGCGCAGACAAAAGAACACTGCAGCCCTGCAGGCGCTAAATCCTAATTATACGGTCAAATAGGCCTATTAAATCAACCGCATACACATGACCCACACTTGTGACAAATCAACCAGGTGACAGACGCCAAATTGGAAAATCAATTTGTACACGAAGTCCACAAAGTTTTTTTTTTTTTTTTTTGTCTTTTTTCAGGCAAACGACATTCTGTTCTGGTAATACGATCGTGATGTCCACGGGTTTTGCTTCAGGCGGTTTCACATCACGGCTGTGATGGAGCTACGAGGCGGACATGGGACGGACACAGAAAGCAATCGATCCTGCGTTAAAATCATCTTATTTATATTTACATGACAGTGCAATCGGTCTTTAACCGTAGATGTAGTCGTTTACGGGGTGTTGTTTGTGGAGTATTATGTACATAGAACATGGAGAAGCATATCGACACGCAGGACGACTGCGGCTCTGCTCCACCTGACAGGACACTGTCATTTCCGGACGACGTTTACGAGTGCAAAATATGCTACAATTCCTTCGACCTAGATCAACACATTCCCAAAGAGCTGGTCTGCTCGCACACCTTCTGTCAGCAGTGTCTCACAACTCTTCACTCTCGGGAAGGTCATGGCTGGAGAATCGGTTGCCCTGTGTGTCGCCACCGAACTCCGGTTCCGGGATATCGGGTTCAAAACCTTCCAGACAACACCACACTCACTGAGACTCTCCCGCTGGAAAAGCAGGACTGCGTGGACTCGGAACCCACGCAGGATGGTCAGGCAGGTGCAGGCGACTCTGTGTGCAGGTCAGAAGTGGACATAGACCACAGGTGCTGTCCTCAGACCTGCAAACGAGTTGCATTCACGACGGGGTGCGTGTGCGCCGTCCTCTCCGCCCTGTGCACGCTGGCGCTGTTGTTAGTGGGCCTCATCCTGGTCCAGAACCACAACGACACCAGCTCGCCATTGGGTGCTGTCTGTTTAAGTCTTTGCAGCGCTTTTGCCTTGTTTTCGCTCATTCTGACATGGGTGACGTGTC